TTCCGGCTACTTGGAAGGCTGAGGTGAAAGGATTGCTGGAGCCCAGCAGGTCGAGGCTGCAGTGGTCGGGAGCGGCCACTGCACTCCAGTATGGGCGACAGAGTGAGACTCCAACTCAAAAAAAAGAAAAAAAATGTGCATCACACAGGGCTATAGTAGGAACCAAATGCCAGCAGCAAGCTGGATTCAATCTGGTCACAGTCAGCAATTTTCATTTTCATTTGTACTTATTTATTTATTTATTTATTTTTGTAGAGATGGGGTCTTGCTACAGTCAGCCATTTTCATTTTCATTGATCTATTTTTTTGTAGAGATGGGGTCTTGCTACACTGTCCACGTTAGTCTTGGACTCCTGGCCTCAAGTGATCCTTCCATGTATTAAATAATTTTTTTTTTTTTTTTTTTGAGTTAGAGTCTCACTCTGTCGGCCAGACTGGAGTGCAGTGGCCGCTCCCGGCCACTGCAGCCTCAACCTGCTGGTCTCCGGCGATCCTTCCGCCTCAGCTTTCCAAGTAGCCAGAATTACAGGCGTGCGCTACCACACCCAGCTGATTTTTTTATTTATTGTAGAGATGAGGTCTTGCTGGCCAGGCGGGTCTCGAATCCGTGGGCTCAGGCAATTCACTAACCTCAGCCTCCCAAACGCGGGGGATTATAGGCTGAGCCATCGAGCCCGGCTATAAATAATTTTATTTATTTATTTACTTACTTAACATACTTTTACTTAGTTACTAATTTACTTACTTTACTTACTTTTACTTACTTACTAATTTACTTACTTTCTTTACTTACCTTTACTTACTTTTATTTACTTACTTTACTTTTTTAGTTTCCTTGCTTATTTTTACTTACTTACTTTTACTTACTTTAATACTTACTTTTACTTACTTACTTTCCTTGCTTACTTTTACTTACCTACTTTTACTTAGTTATTTACTTTTACTTACTTTACTTACTTTTACTTACTTAGTTTTTCTTACTTTACTTACTTGCTTAACTTATTACTTACAATTAACTTACTTTACTTACTTGCCTACTTACCTACCCACCTACCTACCTACCTACTTACTTACTTACTTATTGAGTTGGAGTCTTACTCTATTGCCCAGGTTGGAGTGCAGTGGCATACTCACAATCACCACCACCTCCACCTGCTGGGCTCAGGCGATCCTTCCTCTTCAGCCTTCCAAGTAGCTGGAACCACAGGCGCATGCCACCATGCCCCATTTTTAAAAAAAATTTATTATAGAGATGAAGTTTCCCCATGTTGCCCAGGGTGGTCTTGAACCCCAGGGTTCAAACAATCCTCTCACTTCAGTCTCAAAGTGCTGGGACTATATGCTTGAGCCACTGTGCTCATCCAGTAAACAATTTTTTATTTTTGAGTTGGGAGTCTCACTCTGTTGCCAGGCTGGAGTGCAGTGGCGCACTCACGGATACTGCAGCCTTGACCTGCTGGGCTCAGATGATCCTTCTGCCTCAACATTCAAAGTAGCTGGAACTACTGGCACACACCACCATGACTGGCTAATTTTTTATTTATTGTAGAGATGAGGTTTTGCCAAGTTGCCCAGGCTGATCTCGTACCCATGGGCTCAGGCAATCCTCTCACTTCGGCTTCTCAAAGTGTTGGGATTATGGGTGTTAGCCACTGTGCCCGGCCCTAGTAAACAATTTAAACAAGGTACTTGTCATTTATGATTCTCTGACATTTTCAAACTATATCAATCTCCCAATACTCCTTAGGCTTCTTAAAGAACTTATGAAAGAAATATACAACCAAAGAGGGTGACAATACAGCCACACTTACTCATTCACAGTGGCCTTGTTATTTCTGAGGTCAAGCAAGTGTCACAATAAAATAATCCAACTAGCCAGGCTCGGTGGCTCAGCCTGTAATCCTGCGCCTTTGGGAGGCTGAGGTGAGTGGATTGGATGAGCCCGTGGATTTGAGACCCGCCTGGGCAACTTGGCGAGACCTCATCTCTACAATAAATCAAAAACTAGCCAGGCGTGGTGGCGCACACCTGTAGTTCCAGCTACTTGAAAGGTTGAGTGGAAGGATCACCAGAGCCCAGGTCGAGACTGTGGTAGCCAAGAGTGGCCACTGCACTCCAGTCTGGGAGACAGAGTGAGACTCCAACTCAAAAAAAAAAAAAAAAGTTTACAGGCTGTACAGAAACAGGTTGGGGGCCACATTTGGCTGTAGGCAGTAATTTGCTGGTTCCTGAAGTAAATTATCATAAATAGTGTATTTGTTGAATAAATTAATAGTACTAAAATAATATTTTAAAAAAACTTTTTTTTTTAATTAAAAAAAGAGAGGATGAAGCTTGCTATGTTGCCCAGGCTGGTCTCAAACTCCTGGGATCAAGCAATACTCCCAACTCAACCTCCCAAAATGCTGGGACTACAGGTCCCCACCTGGCCCCAAAACTTAGCACCAAACATTTTAGATCAATAGGGAAATATGCAAATTTTTAAATTAACATAATATAAACCCCGCCAACTGTTATGCAATCAAAGAAATGCTTTATATATAATGGTCTATTCAAGGAATTGTCAGCTTCATTTCTAGTTAGACTGCAAGGTGAACCACCCTTGCATGACTACAAAGAAATACTGGGTTAGTTCAAAGGGCAGATATATACTTTTCCTGTCAGGTGACAGAAATGAAATACAAAAATGTTCATATATTTCCTGACGGTAAAAGTCTTTTACAAATTGAATACCCTTCACTGGGAGAGAGTCTAAAAAATTGCATAAAAGACTTGTATTTTTAAAGAATAAACAGCCAACAAGACGGATTTAAAACTTTTCATAGTCACATTTATATACACTTTTGGGAAAAAAGTACTGACTAGTGCTGCTGTTTTCTTACATTTTGTTTTCTTTTCTTTTTTTTTTTTTGAGTTGGAGTCTCACTCTGTCGCCCAGACTGGAGTGCAGTGGCCGCTCTTGGCCACCACAGCCTCGACCTGCTGGGCTCTGGTGATCCCTCCGCCTCAGCCTTCCAAGTAGCTGGAACTACAGGCGTGCGCTACCACGTCCAGCTAGTTTTTGATTTATTGTAGAGATGAGGTCTCACCAAGTTGCCCAGGCGGGTCTCGAACCCGCGGGCTCAGGCAATCCACTCACCTCAGTCTCCCAAAGCGCGGGATTACAGGCTGAGCCACCGAGTCTGGCTACATTTTGTTTTCTAACTCAATGATTTATGAAATCCTCACCACACATTTAGTGTTTCGTAAGAGCAGATGCTTCCTTGAACCTATTTGATCTACACAGAAGGTAAAGGTTTACATTCCTATTTCCCCATATATCCTGAATTGTTGCTAAAGTACCTCAGAAAATCAAATGTTCTGTGATCATTATACAGACTTGAGTTCCCTCCCTCTCTTCTTTTCTTTCTCTCTCCCTGCTTCCTTCCTTTGTTTTTGTGGGTTTTGTTTTTTTTGTTTTTTTTTTGAGAGATGGGGTCTTCCTCTGTTATCCAGGCTGGAGTGCAGCAGTGTGATCACAACTCACTGCAGCCTCAAACTCCTGAGCTAAGTGATCCTCCCACCTCAGTCTCCTAAGTGGCTCGAACTATAGGCATGTCACCACCACTTACAGCTAATTGTTTTATTTTTTTGTAAAGATGGGGTCTTGCCATGTTGCCTGGGTTAGCCTCAAAGCAATCCTCTGACCTTGGTCTCCCCAAAGTGCTGGGACTGTGGGCGTGAGCCACCTCACCTGGCCCCTCTTCTACTTTTATTGGAATCACTAGTCAACTGTCACCTCAGTGCTGATGATCTCCAACTTTGCATCTTGGACACCACCTTCTCCCCAAGCAGTAGAGTCTCACTCCTAAACCCTGTTGGAAACTTCTACCCGAATGGCCTACTGGCACCATCAACTAAACTAGATATAGACCACAAAAACATATATAGCAAGCAGACTCTCCTGAAGCAAGAAGTTGCCGTCTTCATCACTTTTGCTTCAGGCTAAACACTCCTCTCCTTGGTTGCTGAGACAGCTGGCGCTACCTCTGAACCCTGTCAAGTCCTTCCCTGAATGGCCTCTGCTAATGCCACAACCCACCCTCAGGATCATCCACTGCAATCATGGCAACAGCATCTCAGCTGTGCTCCATGTGTGTCCCACAGTCTCTTGCCTCCCTCAAACGCATTCTACAAGTGGTGAGCTGCTAGTTCACCAAAGTGCTGCTCATTCACTCTTCTGCTCCAGACTCTCAATGATCATGAACTAGCACACAGACACCTGGAGCAGTCACTCATATGTGCTCTTGACCTTGCCCTCACCTGCCTTTCCATACTCATCTCACAACACGCCCCATTTCATACTCCATGCTCTAGTCAAAAAGAAAACCTGAAGGGTGAGGGGGACACCCTGGAATTTGTGCTGCTACATCATCCTTTAAAATGAGCCCACTTCTGAAATCAAACCGTCCATCAGTGCCTGTGAAATCCTCTCCATCCTTGGAAGGTTCAAAACAAGTGCTGTCTCTTCTAGGAAGCCTTCCCTGATTCTCCAGCCAGAGCATCCTGTTTGTGAACTCTCTCTGCACTTGGATTGTACCTCTTATGACCTGGTAACAAGCAGCCTCAGATACTGCTTATTTGTGTACTTGTCTTTCTCAACTCTAAACTGTATGCAAGTGAGCTTGGAGGGAGAGCAAAGCATCTTTATGACCCTGTGCCCCCACAATACTCTGGAAGCAGATTAGGGTGGTACCCAATCAAGCTTTACTGGATGGTTAGGAAGTGCATGACTCTGAAACACAAAATGGCAGACACTCTGAAGGAATGGTACAATTCTTCCAGTCAGCCAGGGGACACTCACTTGCAACACACACTGATCTGCAGGTGTTCAATAACTCTTGACTAACAAGTTTTTAGATTAGAACACTGGCTCCTAGTCTCTAAATATTTCCTCTCTTTCCACCCAGACTGAAAGGTCTCTTCAGCCAATGTTAGACGGAAGACAACAGTTTCAAGGAAACAGAGAGATGTGCAGGAGTTCCACTCATGTTGTGCATTTAAGATGAGAAAAAGAATCATAATGACCATAATTACATGTGTTTGAGTTCCTAGAAATCCTAAAATGATTACTAATCCAATATCATTCACAAATACTTACAGGAGTAAATAAGAGCTGGAAAGAGCGTTTCATTTCTCTCCTGAGCTGTTTCAACCAACATACGAAGTGGACCTTTTGGACATAAAACAGCCACTAAATCTAGAAAGAAAAAAGAGAAAATACATCTGATAAAATGTATGGGTTAAACTTGTAAATGAGCCAGGCTCAGTGGCTCAGTCTGTAATCCCGTGCCTTTGGGAGGCTGAGGTGAGTGGACTGCCTGAGTCCACGGGTTTGAGACCCGCCTGGGCAGGCGAGACCTCATCTCTACAATAAAATTTTAAAAAAAATTAGCTGGGCGTGGTAGCGCACGCCTGTAATTCTGGCTACTCGGAAGGCTGAGGCGGAAGGATCACCGGAGCCCAGTAGGTCGAGGCTGCAGTGGCCGGGAGCAACCACTGCACTCCAGTCTGGGCGACAGAGTGAGACTCCAACTCAAAAAACAAACAAACAAACAAACAAACAAAAAACTTGTAAATGAGTATGGTTAGAGAGGAATTAACCAAAGGGAAAGGTTCAATTAAAAAATGTTTTCTTTGCGTCTGGGTCTCACTCTGTCTGCCACCCAGGCTGCAGAGCTGTGGCATGATCATGACGATCAAAGCTCACAACAGCCTCAACTTACTGGGTTCAGATGATCCACTTCAGCCTCCAAGTAGCTAAGTACAGGCTTGCACCACCACACCTGGCTAATTTATTTTTATTTTTTGTAGAGACAAAGTCTCGCTATGTTGTCCAGGCTGGTCTCGAATTCCTGGCCTCAGCAATCTGCCTGCCTTGGCCTCCCAAAGTGTTGAGATTACAAACATGAGCCACCATGCCTAGCTTGTTTTTTTTTTTAAACACAAAAAGGTGTTGAGTGAATATGAAATAAATGGTAGGTGAATTGGTGAGGAAAAACAACCCAAACAAATAAATAAAACCACACAGAAGATCTGCAAAACTTTCATTTGGGGTTTGACTGCTTATTTGCTTAGTCTATAATGCATCATCACTGGGTTCTAGGAATAAGTCTGCCCAGAGTGAAGCAGCAGAGATAATAACAAAACAGACTATTCTACAGCAGTAGTTAATAAATGTATGATATGATATATAAGTTTAGCATTTCTTTAGTCTCTGGTCAAATAAAAGCATTTCATCAATATTCATGTGAAAACTAAATACACATGTGCCAAAAAATGGCTCATCTTACAAAAGCAGGAACTCAGAGGGGAATAATATGCATAAATGATTCCTGTTACACCACCGCTTCTTTCCATCAGCTGCAATTTTCCACTCATTTTTCTGTGTCATGAAAATTCAGAATATAGAAACATAAAAATAATTTCAAACATCTGAAAATATAAAACAGGTATAGCTAAATTTGTAAAGGAAAAGTTGATAGCTTGTGTTGACATTATTGTCATTTAGATGCATTTAAATAAACAAAAACTTCATGCCTCAAAGTGGATATATCTCCTTGTATAATAATAGAAGACAGTAATGAAACACACATGCACATACCCAAAGAAATCTCTAGTCTCACCAATTCCACTTCAATTTGTTTAAATGAGAAAAAGGAAATCTGTCTTACTCTGAAATAATGAAATTCTCAGTTTGTCTGAAGCTGCCACATCCTAAATTATTTGGGTTTTATGACATGCTCACCCTTATAGAATTGCTAAATGATAAACTCAAGTTTTAGAACAACTAAAGTGAATTAAAATCAATTTTGCTTTGAAAATTTCAGAACATCCTTTGTGACAAATTAAAACATCTTGAGGCCTTGTAAAAATAGAGTTGATAATCACTGTTCTCAGTACTGGATACAAAAATCTCTTGTTTTAAAGGAGCTCAAAGCTCTGTAATCATTTATTTCATGTGTAGACAAAACAGAAGGTTGATAGTAGAAACAGTCTAATACCATGAAAAGAATACTGGGATTCAGATTCTAGGTCAAACAGATTAAGCCTGGGCAATAAGTTTCTTAGCAGTAAATGGGTAATAACTGCCTTGATTACTTCACAGGATTATAGAAAAATAACTTACTGATAGATACTGTTCTAAGTGTTTTAGTATATTATAAGTATCACAAATTCAATCTTCACAGTAACTGAGACTTAGAAGCTGAATGGCGTGTCTGGTCAAATAGCCAGGAAGGGTCAAGCAAAAGCCCCTGGATCTGAGCCCAGGCACTGTCTCCAGAACTGGCATTCCTATGCACAGCCAAGCAACAAGCGATGAGCACTCTGCAAACCATCCAGTTCTGTGCAATATAAGGTCACTACAAGTCAGGCACAGAGAGCATATGACCCTAGAGTTCCATGGTTGATTACTCAAATACAACAGAGCCAGTTCAATTCTGTATCCACAGACTTCTTCATCAATCTAATTGGAATGACAAGTTCCCTACCACAGGTTCTCAGACACTTTAATAAGTATTTCAGCAGTAAGAAAAGAACATAGCCTTATGATGTGGAAACCATGCTGACCTCTGAAAATGGATCTCTTTTTGGCTTTCACACAGGACAACAGCCACATAGAACTCACCTGTACAGCTGCGTTAGTCACAACTGGGGACATTCTGACTGTTCAGAACCCATGTCACACTGGTTGCAGAATCTGAATTCCACACTGCTCACATAGGTTTTTTTTTTTTTTTTTTTTGAGTTGGAGTCTCACTCTGTTGCCGAGACTGGAGTGCAGTGGCCGCTCCCGGCCACCGCAGCCTCGCCTGCTGGGCTCTGGCGATCCTTCCACCTCAGCCTTCCGAGTAGCCGGAATTATAGGCATGCGCTACCAAGCCCGGCTGATTTTTTTTTATTTATTGTAGAGATGAGGTCTCGCTGCCCAGGCGGGTCTCGAACCCTTGGGCTCAGGCAATCCACCCACCTCAGCCTCCCAAAGGCGCGGGATTACAGGCTGAGCCACAGAGCCTGGCTTCACATAGGTTTCATTTTATTCTATTTTATTTTTGAATTAAAGTCTCACTCTGTCACCTAGGCTACAGTGCAGTGCCACACTCACAGCCACCCCAGTATTGACCTGCTGGGCTCAGGTGATCCTTCCACCTTAGCCTTCCAAGTAGCTGGAACTACAGGCATACCATGCCCAGCTAATTTTTTGATTTATTGTAGAGATGAGGTCTTGTCAAGTTGCCTGGGCTGTTCTTGAACCATGGGCTTAGGCAATCCCCTTACCTTGGCCTCCCAAAGTGCTGGGATTATAGGCTTGAGTCACCATGCCCGGCCAAGTTTTATTTTTAAAATAAAATTCTATCCACATTACCTCAGAAAAAGAAGGTAACCTAATTTTGATTTTTAAAATGAGCTGAGCACTGCATGTGTGGTCTGTAACATGTGTCCATTCACTGAGCTTTTACATCCATGAGAAGCATGGCTTCCCATGACAAGCGAGGGACCAGTCATTTTCCTGAGGTCACAAAGACAGTGGTGGAGGCAGCACTTGAGTCTTCTGAGGGTAGGAATAAAACAGTATTTAAGAACTTCACCTCAAAGATTGTAAAATCTTTCTATAAAAAAGATACTACAGCTAATTATTTACTGAAGAGCTACAGGGTGTAAAAATCACCATCTTCCCTAGATGAAGAAGGAAAGCACACCAGTGAGGCACTTTAGTGCTGAACAAATGAGCAGTCGGGGGCATTACCATATATAGAAATCACAGCCAAGATGAGCCATGCAGTCCACTCGGGGAGGTACTTGATGAACACCAGGGCCATGAGGGCGCTGATCATTATGAGGTATGCCTGCTGTAGCCGGAGGGGTCCTTTCCAGTGAATGGAAATCATCCCTACCACGCCAAAGTTCCAAATCAGGAGCGCAACAGTAATGTAGTCCACGGCAACATTATAGGTTTTAAACACTTCCCTGAAAAGAATTACACATTTTAAAGGATTCACACATAGTAATCTTCATCAAAACACAATTTAGAATGATGGCTCCCAAATCCTTGCGCCTCAGTCTTCCGAGTAGCTGGAACCACAGATGCACGCTACCACGCCCGGCTATTTTTTTTTTTTTTATTGCAGAAATGTCTCGCCAAGTTGCCAGGGCTGGTCTCGAACCCATGGACTCAGGCAATCCACTCATCTCGTCCTCCCAAAGTGCTAGGATTACAGGCCCGGCCCACTACTTTCTTCAACAGAGCAGCTCTGTTGTTTTTTTTTCTACATTATATATAAAAATTTCACACAAGATTTCATTTGAAAAAGGGTCACTGATAAAAACAATATAAAAGTATGAAAATCAATTTATTCATGCTTATTTACATTCTTTTTTTTTTTTTTTTTTTTTTGAGTAGGGGTCTCACTCTGTCACCCAGGCTGGAGAGCAGTGGCACAGTCCCGGCCACCGCAACCTTGACCTGCTGGGCTCAAGTGATCCTTCCACCTAAGCCTTCCAAGTAGCTGGAACTACAGGCACACACCACCATGCTCGGCTAGTTTTTTGATTTCTTGTAAAGATGGGGGTCTTACCAAGTTGCCCAAGGTGGTCTTGAACCCGTGGGCTCAGGCACTCCTCTCACCTCGGCCTCCCAAAGTGCTAGAATTACTGGCTTCAGTCATTCACACCTGGCCTTCTTATTTACATTCTTGAAATCCTTTCTCAACATTCTGATTCCTAGATTTCTACTACAAGTAATGAATATATAATCTTGGAAAAGGCTTAGAATTAACCGCAGTCTTGAGTTCTTTCAGTTCTACTTATTATAAGCAAGGATCAACAAAAGAATATCTCAATTAGTCATATAATTTATATGCCAAGTATGACCTATATGTGGAAACAATTATAACATGAGTAATTTATCAACAAAGTGCATGGCTTTAAGTGACAGTTATGGAGCACAAATAGAGTTAATTTCTGAAGCAAAGATCAAAAGTTTCCCAACTTACCCCAGGTAAATGAATGAAAAAAAGAACAGCAACAACAGAGATGATATAATAAGCCAGGCATGGATGACCTAGAAAAGAAAGCATTTCAATATGATCAACAGCTCCCACAACCCTTAGAAAGTACCAATTTCTTACTGCAAACATAGAATATTATATTTGCATATGTCATGCTTTTCAAATAGCAGTACAAATGGCTTTGGGATCAGTGCATACTTATATGGAACTCTTTTTTTTTTTTTTTTTTTAA